CTAGTGATTTATAGGTGCCATGAAATCCCTATAACAACCTCAGGGTGTTGCTGCAATAGAAAAGAAATTCTAAAATCCATCTGAACTCAAAATGAACACTTAGGAGCCAAACAATGTATAAACACACTACTGACTTCAAAACATACTAAAGCAGGTACTGAAGCAATGGAATGCTGGCATGAGGAAACTGAAATTATTGAAATTATTTTTTAATGTTTATTGGCTTTTAATTTTCTTCAAGCAATATATTTTGATCATATTCTTTCTCCTCTCTCAACTCCTCCTTGCTTTTCCCCACCTTCCTACCCACCCAACTCCATGTTCTTTCTCTCATGCCCAATAAAAAAAAAGAAAAACAAAGACAAAAATACCAAAACAAAACAAACAAACAACAAAAGATAAAAAGCACACAGCTCACTTTGTGTTCGCCAGCTACTCCTAAGCCTGGAGCCTGCTCCAGAGTGCGGTTGATATACCCAGCATCACTCCATTGGAGAAAACTGATTTTCCCTCTCCTAGCCATTGCAAACAGATTTTAGTTAGAAGTGAACTCTGTCTCCATTTCCCCTTCTCCATGCTACGATTCTGTCTGGCTTGAACTTGCGCAGTCTTGTGCATGCTGCCTCAGTTTCTGAGTGCTTCCATGCATCAGTCTCTTGTGTGAGGAGTCATCCAGCACCTCTGCCAAAAGTTTAATGGACACAGACATTTTTCCCATTCTGTAAGCTGCCACTTTGGTGAAATGATGGTGTTCTTTGCTGTACAGAAACTGTTTAGCTTCATGGGGTCCCATTTATTAGTTCTTGGTCTTATGGAACCCCTATGCTCTGGGGTCCCATTAGGAAAATGCTTTCCTGTGTCAATGAGTTCAAGTTAATTCTCTACATTCTCTTCTATAAGATTCAAAGTATCAAGCTTTATGTTGCGGTCTCCTATCCATTTGGAGTCCAGTTTTGTGTAAGGTGCTAGAAATAGATCTACTTTGATTTTTCAACCTGCAGCCATCCAATTTGACCAGCACCACTGTTGAAGATTCTGTCTTGTCCACAGTGTGTATTTTTTTTTTTGCTTCTTGAGCAAAAAGTAGGTGTCCATAGGTGTGTAGAGTTATGTCTAGGTCTTCGATTCTATTCCATTGATCAATATGTCTGGTTTTGTCCCAACATGATGCTGTTTTTTTATTAGTATAGCTCTGTAATACAACTTGAAACATGGCATAGTGATAATGCCAACATTTCTTTTATTATTCAGGATTTTTTTAGCTGTCCCAGGTCTTTTGTTTTCCCATATGAAGTTCAAGGTTTTTTAATTTTTTTCCAGTAAATAACTGTGTTGGGATTTTGATGAAGATGCCATTGAATGCTTTTGGTGGGGTGGCCATTTTTACTATATTAATCCTACTGTTCCACGAGCATGGGAGATTTTTCCATCTTCTGAAATGTTCTCCAATGTCTTAAAGATTTTATTGCACAAATCTTAAGGCTATTATGAAAGGTACTGTTTTCCTGGTTTCTTTCTCAGTATGTTTACTGTTTGTATGTAGGAAAGATACTGACTTTGTATTACTTTTGTATCCAGCTACTTTTCTGAAAGTGTTTCTCAGCTGTACAAGTTTTCTGGTGGAGTTCTTAGTTATATACAAAATCATATCTGTGATATAAAATCAATCATAATGTTTGAAAATAGTGATACTTTGACTTCTTCCTTTCCTATTTGTATCCTCTAGGTCTCCTTCAGTTTTCTTACTGCTCTAGCTAAGACTTCAAGTACTATGTTGAGGTCATATGTACAGAATGGACATCCTTGTCTTCTTCCTGCTTTTAGTAGAAATGCTTTGAGTTTCTCTCTATTTAGGATAATGTTGACTGTGGACTTGCAGTAAAACCTGTATTATGTTAAGATATGTCCCTTGTATCCTTTATCTTTCTCATTTTTAGTAGCTGAGAGAATTCCTGTTCTTGTACTATACCTTCTCTCTCCTGAAGTCTACATCCCTCCTAGGGGATGTCAAGTGTTTCTGAAGTTATGTGTAATAGTTCTATAGATGCTTTGGATAGGTCCCAATTCCAGTTATTCCATATTTTCTTGAGTTAGAAGTGTTTGAACTGTGTTGAAATTCATAAGCTGGAATCATAACCTTAAGTGGTATTAAGAGACAGAACCTCTGAAAGGTGACTAGATCAAGAGGATGGAGTCTTCACGAGTGGATTAGTGTTTCTATGAAAAATGCCACGAGCTAGGGAGGGACTTTGGAGATAATGTACTTCTTACCTAGTATAGGTGAGTGATCCAAGGGAGAGGAGAGAACAGATGAGACAACTGGAAGAGGTTGAGGGACTGACTGACGGACTGACTGACTGATTGACTGACTGATTGATTGATTGACTGACTGATGGATTGGTGGAACTTCTGGCTTTCTGGCCTTTCCCAGCTTTCCTGGGGTTTGAAGCTGTCATGCAGTAGTTCTCCTTAGCTGTTATTTTCAGCCATCAAACAACAGTTGTTTCCACTGTAGAATAGTTTCCCCTTGGCTGCTGTTTCTAAGCATAAAGTAATGGGCTTGTATTTGGGGATTCAATTATATGTAACAGATGACAGTATGAAAATATGAGGTGGTAAATTCCATATACAAATCATAAATTTTAAACTGTGCACAAATTCAAAGAGAGGAGCAGTCTAATGAAAGCTGGCACTGTCCTATCATGTTCTGGCTGACTCTAAACCATCTCTTTGTCCAGGGTGTCCATGCTGTACAAACCAGTCTGTCAGTCTCTTAGTGGCCACATCAGTCATAGATGAATTTCAGGAATGTACTGCTTAGGTATATGTAACCCTGGCTCTACTTTAAAACAGCCCTAAAGTACAAGATTAGAGATCCCAGGGGGCTGGCAAGATGGATCAGTGGTTAAGAGCACTAGCTGTTCTTCCATAGGTCAAGGGATTAATTTCCAGCACCCACATGGCAGCTCACTACTGTCTATAACTGTATGAGGGAATATAATTCCCTCTTCTGGTATGCAGACAGACATATATACAAAACATCCATATACATAATACAAATAAATCATTTTTTAAGAAAATCAGAGATCCTGGTGACTTATTACAGTGTACTGCTATAATCGTTCTATTTTATAATGCCAATATTGTTAATTTCTTACTCTGTCTGATCCATGTAAACTTCGTAGAGAACCTCAGAGTCAGCTCAAGACACCCCAAGACCATGTTCTCAGCAAAAAGGAGATGTATGTGCCCCAAAGGAACAGAGAGCATGGATAAAGGACAAAGACAGGAGATATAGAAAGAGGGTGAAGGGGAAGGGAACAAGGAAGAGGGAAAAAAAGGAGCAAAGGAGAGGGGTAAAGGGTATTTGTTCTGGGTAGGACAGGGGAACGAAGGACAGCCTATTATTAGAGAGACTTCCATAGGCAAATGGAAGTTTATAAAGGTAAAATGGGAAACCCCATGTTAGGATGAGGAGTTTAATTTTAATAGTTCATGTTAATTAGGTGAGGCAAAGGGAGCTTTTGATTGCTAGACTTCAATACTTTGATAGTTGGACATTGGTAGTCAGCCTCGGGAAGAAAAATTGACTAAATAAGGGAATGGACCTCGGGGGCTAGCTTTAGAAATACAATCTAATGGTTTTCAGTAAGGCAGAAGAAATTGGGGAGATGGGTAAGGTCTGCCAGAGCGATGCTCACCACACTCAAGCTAGCCAGAGTCCCTTCAAACTTCATCGTGTCTACGAATAGGAACATGTTATATGTAAGGTTTACTCCTACGTGCAGTCCCAGGCACCCATTAAGAGTTTCGGAATATATCCCCTCTAATAAGGAAGTTTAACATATATTTAATGATGATTATCTGTATACTTGAAAGGGTCAGTTTTTGTTACATACATCTTACACAATAAAAAAGCAAGTGAAACAAGTATGCTGTACCCATAAACAAAGTTGGATATTCTATTCCCATGCCTCAGAATGCATCCCCAGAGAGCCTTCACTGTTTCTCCCACCACGTAATATACTGGACCATCTCAGGAACTCCATGTTCCCTGGAAAAGCTAGGCTAAGAACTCCCAGGGTTCCTGATTCTTTCATATTTAGTAATGCCTGGTTCTGTAAATAAAAAGGCAGGACACTCAGTTACATCTGATGTACAATTATGAATTTTCTACAAATAAGCAATAGTTTGCAAATATAAATGTGGCTCAATTAATATTGGGGTATATTTATATAAAAGTTTTTCCTTGCTTATCTGGCTTTCCAACCAACCTTGATAACCTGTTTCATCGGGCTGCTTATTTTAACTCATGTTGCTATGAATGTTCCAAACCATTAACCCAAGTGTTTTTTTTTTTAATCAGTGTACTAGTTTTTATTGCTGTACTAATTTCCTAATATCATTCTTTGTGGCTTTACACAGCAACTGAGTTAATTAATCCCATTCCTGTTTGTTATTACTTGTAACTGTTACATAAAATATTAAGATTCTTTCTCCCGAAGTTTCATCTGAATACATTTGTTTTGAATAGTCAGAGTGAATTGTACAGCACTGTTTGGTGGCATAGGACAGTTCTTTTAAAAAGACATCAATTAGAGCTTTATACTTACACAGAATTCTCATGTCCCATCTTGGGCCTTCTCATGTGTGCTGTACTCTGTGTGGTCACTGTGTCGCTGAGACTCTGACAGATGCATGCTTCCGTTCTAAGGCATGCTATTTACCCAAGCCCACTTGTAGCTCTGGCTGCACAGACTAATATGGTCCCTCATGCCCACCTGTTATTTCAGTCCTGGCTGAGACCACACTAGCATGCATGCTCTTTGAAAACACAAGTACTGCAGGCCCTCGTGTCCTAAATTGAGCTCTCACAGAATGGTGGAAAGTGTGCCCTTGTGGTGAGAAGAACTGCAGGACCCTCATCTGTGAGCTTGCTGAGGATTGCATGCTATTTGGAAGGCAGGCAGAAAATCAAAATGCCTTTTTATTTCTTTTACCTGAAGTGGCACCACCCTGGACATCAAGTGGTCAAAGTAAAGATCCACTGCCTTAGTGAAGCCATGGTAAGTTGTTCTCAGTTTCATGTCAGGGTCTTGGAGGAGCCAGCTTGAAGACAGAAATGAAGAAAAGGAGTATCAGTGTAAATATCTGTGGGTTTGCTTGGGCAGGCTAGTGACTAGAGAAAAGGAAGCAACTTCAACCCACTCAAGAATGAGTCTGGAGAGCAGGTCAGGCCAAGGCTAATTACCATCCCACTAACTCCAATTAGCTAGGAAGTCAGGAAGCTATGCACACAGTCCAGAGGCAAGCACACCACAGTGACAGCCTACACACCAAATGCCTTGGGAAGTCTGGGTTGAATTTCATGGCTACAGGTGCTCTCAACTTTCCACTGGAAAGAGAAGAGCAAGGCATGGTCTTCAAGTATTTACACTAACAACCCAAAGGGGCATGGCAGAGCACTCCTGGCACCCCAGCAGTCAGGTGAAAGAGGGGAATCATGATCTTAAAAATCAGCCTGAGCTAAATAGTGAGTTGGTCGGTCTGTGCAGTAAGACCCTATCCCAAGGCAGGGAGAAAGGCAATGTCAAAAGGATTGCAAATCACTGGGACTAGAGAAACCCAGATTCAACCTTCCAGGATGCCCCAGAATAATGATCCTGATAAGTGTTATAAGACGGTATCAGAGGGACGCAGGAGCTTGGGCCCTGCAGTCTGCCACCAGAGCAGCAGCAGGCAGGAAAAAATGAAGTCTTCCCTTGATCAGCTGTGGTCACAGACCCCAACAGAAACTCAGCACCAGGGGCTAGCTCCAAAGCTAAAGCCAAAGTGCTTCCATCCAGTGAAATTCTAAGAAATATGGTTTCTAATAAGAGGCTCTGATGTCTCCCTTTCCCTAACTCAGAAACTCCAAAAAGTGACAGAAACCTATCAGGAAATGTCAGTTGATAATGAAAGGCTAAAGGGGGTGTCTCCTCTAACCTGACCTGCATATCCTGATCTATCACAGAGACCTATATTCTTAAAGCACTGACATCCTACCCTCCTGGGAGTCCTTCATGAATAGGTAGGTGCCCCCCTCCATGGCAAGGGAGGGAAGATCTAAGAGTCCCCATTGCTTCTAATTTAAGACTGCTAAACCCTGCTGTCCTTCTATATCCAGCTCCAGCTGAGCCCAAGGAAACTGCTGACAGTGGCACAGGTGTCTAATCCGCAGAAAGGGCCAAGCAGCTTGTGTGCTCACAGCTCTGCCTGAGACACTGTGCCAGATCAGAATGATCCTAGCTGCTGGACAGAAGACAAGTTGTACCCCTGATGGAAGGGCAGGCCATACTGGAAACAGAGAGCAGATAAGAGCTGGGCATAGTACTTGTGCTGTGAAAACAGAGTTTCCCAAGCCACTTCTAGAACCAAGAATTCCAGCCTTCTTTCCTCGGGGGACAGAACAGGTGGATGGAGCCTGTGGCTAGCCACCAGTGATTGCTGCTGTAAGAGCAGAGACAGTGCAGATGGGTGGAGCCTGTGGCCAGCCACTTGTGATTGGTGCTGTAAGGGCAGAGACAGTGCAGATGGGTGGAGCTTGTGGCCAGCCACTTGTGATTGGTACTGTAAGGGCAGAGACAGTGCAGATGGGTGGAGCCTCTGGCCAGCCACCTGTGATTGGTGCTGTAAGGGCAGAGACAGTGCAGATGGGTGGAGCCTGTGGCCAGCCACCTGTGATTGGTGCTGTAACGACAATGATGATAACACTTGATCAGATAGGACAGTTCCCCCCACAACCCCTGCTAGAAAATGAAGGCAGTCTTGCTGACGAAGAGGAATGAATTTGGGCCCACATGATACCCATCCAGACATCACTCCCAAAGCATAATGCTCAGTACACTGACCTTACTGGAAACTACATTTAAAAAGAAGAGACCCCCTTCCAGTCTGCACCCAAGCACTGAGCAGATCTTGGGCTTCAGCTCTGCACCAAATCCCACAAAACCTAGAGGAGGCAGAGGTCCCAGGAGCTCTAACACCAGCAGCAACACTCACCTCAAACAGTTCTGACACAACCAAGATAATAGGAAAGACAGGCTCCAGTCAGACACAGTGAGTATAGGTAGCACTAAAGATAACTAGATGGCAAATGACAAGCATAAGAACATAAGCAGAAACCAACGTTACTTGCCATCATCAGAACCTAGTTCACCCACAATAGAAAGTCTGAAATACTCCATCACACGAGGAAAGCAAGATTCAGATTTAAAATCACTTCTCCTGATGATGATAGAGGACTTTAAAAGGACATAAATAACACTCTCAAAGAAATAGGGGAGAACACAAGTAAACACACAGAAGAACTTAAAGAGGAAACACAAAAATCCCTTAAAGAATTAAAAGAAAACAGGTGAAGGAATTGATCAAAACTACCCAGGACATAAAAATGGAAGTAGAAACAATAAAGAAATCACCACAAAGGGAGACTACCCTGGAGATAGAAAACCTAGGAAAGAGATCAGGAGTCATGGATACAAGTACCACCAACAAAATACAAGAGATAGAAGAGAGAATCTCAGGTGCAGAAGATACCATAGAAAATATTGATACAACAGTCAAAGACAATGCAAAGTGCAAAAAGTTCTTAACACAAAATATCCAGAAAATCCAGGACACGATGAGAAGACCAAACCTAAGGATAATAGGTATAGAAGAGAGTGAAGATTCCCAACTTAAAGGGCTAATAAATATCTTCGACAAAATTATAGAAGAAAACTTCCCTAACTTAAAGAAAGAGATGCCCATGAGCATACAAGAAGTCTACAGATCTCCAAATAGACTGGACAGGAAAAAGAAATACCTCACATCACATAATAATGAAAACTTCAAATGCACAAAACAGACAAAGAATATTAAAAGCAGTAAGGGAAAAAGGACAAGTAACATATAAAGGCAGACCTATCAGAATTACACCAGACTTCTCACCAAAGACTATAAAAGCCAGAAGATCCTGGACAGATGTCATACAGACCCTAAGAGAACACAAATGCCAGCCCAGGCTACTATACCCAGCAAAACACTCAATTACCATAGATGGAGAAACCAAGGTATTCCATGACAAAACCAAATTTATACAATATCTTTCCACAAAGCCTGTACTACAAAGTATAATACAGGGAAAACTCCAATACAATGAGAGAAATTATACCCTAGAAAGAGCAAGAAAGTAATCTTGCAACAAATACAAAAGAAGATAGCTACACAAAAATAATGCCACCACTAATAACAAAAATAACAGGAAGCAACAATCTCCTTTCCTTAATATCTCTTAACATCAATGGACTCAATTCCCCAATGAAAAGACATAGACCAAAGGACTGGCTACGTAAACAGGACCCAGCATTTTGCTGCATACAGGAAATGCACCTCGGTGACAAAGACAGACACTACCTTAAGAGTAAAAGGCTGGAAAACAATGTTTCAAGCAAATGGTCCTAAGAAGCAAGCTGGAGTAGCCATTCTAATATCGAATAAAATCGACTTTCAACTTAAAGCTATCAAAAAGGATAAGGAAGGACACTTCGTACTAAAAAAAAAGTCAACCAAGATGAACTCTCAGTTCTGAACATCTATGCTCCAAATGTAAGAGCAACCACTTTCATAAAAGAAACCTTACAAAAGCTCAAAGTATACATTGCACCTCACACAATAATAATAGGAGACTTCAACACCCCACTCTCAGCAATGAACAGATCATGGAAACAGAAACTAAACAGAGACACAGTGAAACTAGGAGAATTTATGAACCAAATCGATTTAACAGATATCTATAGAACATTTCATCACAAAAGAATATACCTCCTTCTCAGCAGCTCATGGTACCTTCTCCAAAACTGACCATATACTTAGAAACAAAACAGGCCTCAACAGATACAAGAAAATTGAAATAATACCCATGTATCCTATCAGATCACCATGGACTAAGGCTGGTCTTCAATAATGACAAAAACAATGGAAAGTCCACGTACACATGGAAACTGAACAACACTCTACTCAATGGTGACTTGGTCAGGAAAGAAATGAAGAAAGAAATCAAAGACTTTTTAGAATTTAATGAAAATGAGGACACATCATACCAAAATATATAGGACACAATAAAAGCAGTGCTAAGAAGAAATCTCATAGCTCTAAGTGCCTACAAAAAGAAACTAGAGAGAGCATACACTAGCAGCTTGACAGCACACCTGAAAGCTCTAGAACAAAAAGAAGCAAACACATCAAAGAGGAGTAGACCGCAGGAAATAATCAAATTCGGGGCTGAAATCAATCAAGTAGAAACAAAAAGAACTATACAAAGAATCAATAAAACCAGGAGCTGGTTCTTTAAGAAAATCAACAAAACAGATAAACCCTTAGCCAGGCTAATCAGAGGGCAGAGAGACAGTATCCAAATTAATAAAATCAGAACTGAAAAGGGTAACATAATAACAGAAACCGAGGAATTTTTAAAAATTAACAGATCCTACTACAAAGGCCTAAATTCAACAAAATTGGAAAATCTGGATGAAATGGAGGATTTTCTAGACAAATACCAGTTACCAAAGTTAAATCAGGCCCAGATAAACCGTCTAAACATTCCCATAACCCCAAAAGAAACAGAAGCAGTCATTAAAAGTCTCCCCACCAAAAAAAAAGTCCGGGACCACATGGTTTTAGTGTAGAATTCTATCAGACCTTCAAAGAAGACCTAAGACCAATTCTCTTTAAACTGTTCCACAAAATAGAAACAGAAGGAACACTACCCAATTAATTCAATTAAGTCACAATTACGCTCATACCTAAATCACACAAAGACGCAACAAAGAAAGAGAACTTCAGACCAATCTCCCTTATGAATATCAATGCAAAAATACTCAATAAAATTCTCACAAACCAAATCCAAGAACACATCAAAACAATCATCCATCATGATCAAGTAGGCTTTATCCCAGGAATACAGGGATGGTTCAATATACAGAAATCCATCAATGTAATTCACTATATAAACAAACTCAAAGGAAAAAAAACCACATGATCATCTCACTAGATGCTGAGAAAGCATTTGACAAAATTCAACACCCCTT